TATATGCATGGGTCGAGGGACAGGTCATATATTTTTATGTCGAAATTCGAACAATCCCTTTCATCTCTTTTGCCAAAGACGTTGAAGGAGAATCAATATGGAGAAAATGTCAATTAACTTCTTTACAACTGACACATCAATGTATCCGATAAAACCCCGCATTATTTTACTACGAAATAAGCCCGTTGCCGTTTAGACAGAAAGGTCGAAAATATAATTGAATCATTTTTAGGAGCGACGGAAAACTTTAAATGCTTTGACAACTTGGTTTTGCCAATCTTCTGCGCTTGTTATTTCGTGGTAATAATAATTTTTTTGGGGGGGTATAGCTGAGGCAGCTCAGGGAAAAAAAGGCTAAGGGAGAGCTACTACTCCGTAATAAGAAATACAAATCAAACGTGTCAAGATTTTCGCCTTTTTGAATTAAAACGAAACAAAACATCAGGCGGACGGAGATTGCGAGAGGGGGAACCTGCCGGCAAACAAATTGATCACAATGTTGCCATCTCATTTTATGAGAAAATGATCACGTCAGCGCTTTCGTCCTTTCTTTAACATGGCTCGTCGTCGTCTTCTCCTCCTTTCTTACGTTTCAAATTACCATCGATGTTTGATAGATATCAGCTTTCGTATTGGTTACAAGTTTCAAATGTGTAACTGTTCAAGAAACGAAAATAAACTTCAATAAGATATCGTGAGACCTCGGTGTACTAAAGCCTATCTTGGGAGTAAATGTATAATTTACTTTGTTGACTCATCGATTTTCAGAAAATGTCAGGACTTTTGTTTAAAAATAAAATGTAACAACAACTAAAGAGAATATTCCTGCAGCTTTTACTTAATCACTAAGGCAACTGATGAAAGTGATACGATAGGAATGCACTCTCATTCACGAAAAAATAACAAACAGAAAATGAACATGGAGACAACACAAGCAACAGCTCCATCCATCAAACGAAACACAGCAACAAAAACAGCAAAAGAATCGAAATGAAAAACAAACAAACAAACACACGAATAAAAAGCCCCCCCCTCCCCCTAAAAGCTCTCTCCAGGGAAAAGACAACAGAAACCAAACAACCCCCCCCCCCCCCCAAAACATCCCCTATAATATAAAACCAAAAAAAAAAAAAAAGAAAAAACCAAACCCCCCCCCCCCCCCCAATACATTCCCTATAATATAAAACCCAAAATAATAATAAGAAAAACAATTCCACTCACGTTTCACTGAGAGTTGAACGTATCGACGAAGATCTCTGTCTTTGGAACTGATCTGGCACTCGTATTGACCAGCGTCATCCAATCGAACCTGAAGCACGAAGAGGTAAACATGACGGTCTATAATGTCCTTACTCACAAAACAACACCAGTGTGTGTGTGTGTGTGCGTGTGTGTGTGTGTGTGTGTGTGTGTGTGTGTGTGTGTGTGTGCGTGTGTGTATGGATGGATAAATGGAGAGAGATGTAAACATACTGATAAAAGAACAAACAGAGCCATTCAGACAGACAAACAGACAGACTGAGAGACAGGAGTCAGAGGTAGGTACTGTTAACAAAGTTGTGATTACACCGTAAGCAATCCATCAAAATAAAGCATGTGCTTGAAAGAAAGGTGCATAATATAAGACAACATACTTAAAGCAAAAATAACGCACATACAACTCACAAAAATATGGTACTATTGAAACACATTGGGGATGAAAACTGAAGCAACAACACAATACTCATTATATGTAAAGATAAAAACGTGTATATATATATACGTATATATATATATATG